GTTAAAGCGTCTAGCTTTCCTTATAGATGCAGTGCATCTAGAATTTAAGGTTTAAGTGTTCCTAATAAATAAACGCAATAAAGTGCGTCTATATAAGGCGTATAACTAGAGGTTTACTAGCGTAGAGTTGGTCGCGGTGCTTTCGCTAATTAGCCGCTAGTATAGTAGTTAGCCTACTGCCTACCTAAATAATCTTTATATTTTTTAACGCGTTACTATGTGCATTAATGTTGTAAGCGTCCTCTATTGTCGCTAACTACTCTTCTATCTCTATAGTAAAGGCACTAATTTCTAGCCTTTTAATGCTATATTATAGTAGCTTACCGTTATAGTAGCAACTGCTAGGCAGTAGCCTTATAACCCTTATAGCTATAATGTTAGTTAATGCCTTTAGCGTCTATATAATATAAGTGTATTTATTGCTTTACAGCTGCTTTTTAGCCGGCAAGGTGTTATTAAGTAGCACGTATACTAGTCTTGTTTCTAACTTAGCGGACAGGGTTAAGGTGCCTATAGATGCTGCCCGCAAGGTGTAGCTGCTGTGCATTAGCGTAAAGGGTAGCATTAGCACGTCCTTGGCTTTTAATAGTTCGCGTGCTAATCGCAGAGTAGCCGCCCTATAATCGGACATTGCTCCTTATAGAATAGAAGTTAAAGAATGTAAGAGGTTAGTATACAATGCGTAGTTACAAAGGCTTAACCGGTTTATACTATTATATTAAGACTTTAACTTAATAAACTATAGGAGACTAGTAGGCAAAGGCCTGCTAGCTAATATATACGTAGCTAGAAGATATAGTATAGCGTAACCCTAGTAAGGCGTAGCATAGCTAAGTGGCTATGCTAGTCTTATGCAACGTGTTAAGATAGTTTGTTAAGTTTGTCGCTTAGTAAGCAACTAGTTGCCGAACCGGTGCGTAAGGACGCGTGTATAGAATACCCTTATAATTACTTACCTTAGTAAAGGGTTATAAACCTAGTTCTTAGTAAAATAAAAAGGCTAGCTAGCTAAGTATAATACCTAAGAACTAAAACAGCATCTAGCGCATGCTAGCTACAAGTTATAGTCTTACTAAAAGACTATAAAACGCACTTATAAGAAATAAAAAGACTATAAAGTAATAGCTAACTATATATAAGCTAATTATTAGTTAACTACTCTTACTATTTTTATATAATTACGCACTATAAACTACTTATTCTAGCTTTAAGGGCGCCCCTTAAAGCTATAAACTTAAAATATACTATTAGTAAGCTATTACTTAGCTACTAGCTACTTATTACTATCTTTCTTTATAAACATCTCTTTTACCTCTTTATCCCTCTTTATCCCTCTTCGTACTACTAAGCAAGCCTTTACTAGCTAGCATATAACTACTACTAGCTGCTAACTAGCTGCTTACTAGCATACTCTTACTAAATACTGCTATACTACTACTACTAGCTACTATAACCGCCTTACTACTACTAGCTATAGCACTAGGAATAGTCTTAGCGCTACGCTAGCGCTTAGCTAAGGTTAGAAACTTAGCGTAAGACCGTTGCTTACTAGGCGCCGCTAAAGATAGCGGCTAAAGAAAGACTACTACCTAGTTAATCTAGGCTAGCTTAACTAAGGCCGCTATAGTTTATAAGATCCGCTTAAGCAGCCTCTTTACTTTTATAGTATAGTAAAGCATACTACTATAGCTAGCTTAAATAGCTATAGCGCGCTAGGCTAGGCTAAGAGTAATAAAATAAGGATTAGCCTAGGTAATAAGTTAGCAATAACTTAACAATAAAGATTAAAGAACTTACTATTACTTTAAGAGTAGTAGCAACTTAAGTCTATACCTATAACAGTATGCCTATATCTAAGGACATTAGCGGCAAAAGCTAGGCTACCTTTGCTAACTACTACGCAAGCGTTAAGGTAAGCTTTAGCTCTTGCTAGTACTAGTAAAGAACACTAAGGTATAATGCAGCCTATTATGCCGTCTTAAAATGTTTGCGCTAAGAGTGCTAGTTAGTTGCTAAAAGCTTTAACTTATCTTCTTATAAGGCGCGGCTAAGTTCCTTAGTTACTGCTATTAAGGCTATTAACCTTTAAGCAATTGCTACGCAATCGCCTAGCGCTATAATAATATTATTAACCGTTATCCGCTAAAGTAGCAACTTATTTATACTAGCTAAAAATTCCTAAATATATTAAGCTAAGCCTTTAATCTCTTTAAGGAGCTATTAGTTAGCAATTAGCTACTAGCGCACACAAGTTAACGCACTTACTAGCAAGCATAATATATTGTTAGCTATACAACTAACGTAGCACGCTAGGTTTTTTAGCATAGCTATACATAAGAATTTATGGTAAACATTTAAATAAGCCTTAAAGACGTAGTTTAAACATAAAGCTTACTATAAGGTTAGCTATTGCTTAGTAGACGCTATGCTAGCAAAGACCTACGCTCTTAAAAGATAGTGCGTATGCCTAAGAAGGGCGTTTTATAAGGTTTGCATCTATAAAAAAGTTTATTAAAACTTAAAAGCAGCTTTAGTTAGATATTATCTATAAGCAATTATTAGCTAGCTACTACGCAAAGTTGCAAACCGTTGCATTAACCTACTACGCAAGTAAAATTAAAGAAAAAAGGGCTAAAGAGGCAGAAGTAGTCTTATAAGTATAAACAAATTTGTTTTAAATTATAAAATATACTTACTCTTTTATACTTTAAGGTAATAAAGAAGCTACGTTATTAAATGTTTAAATGCATCTTAAAACCTTACCTAACCTTACTTTAATAGCAAGGTAAGAAACGTCTAAAATTAAATAAAAGAATATTCTAGCAGTAGACTGCCTTTACTATTTAGTAGGCAATAGTTCTATAATTAGCAAGCAATAAACAGCTGCTATTACCTTTATCCTACCTTGCTAGTAGTTAAAAGTCGCAAGCCTTACGCTACCGTTTTTAGTTAGCGTATACTACACCCCTATGCACTAAGTATTTAAGGCTAGCCTCCTTGCAACACCTATTAGCGGCAAGCGTTCCTTAACTAAGATCTAAGCTGCACGCCTCCTAGAGAGCTTTAATAAATAAGACGACCTATGCATTAAGCAGGATCCGGCGTTTACTGCCGCCATAGACCAAGCAGTACGTGTGCGCTTCCACGTTACTTAAATGCAGTCGCATAAGCAAGCGGTCCACAACCGCTCGGCAACAGCCAATAACCTAGAGCGCTTAACTCTTTTTCCTAACTTTATAAGGAGAGGTTTTTTAACAAGCAAGTGGCTGCCGCGTATGCACCTTTAGGCTAACAGGGGCGTTACCTAGGGAGGGGGGGAATAGTGTAAAGGTATTCTATACACGCGTCCCTACGCACCGGTTCGGCAACTAGTCGCTTACTAAGCGACGGACTTAACAAACTATCTTAACACGTTGCACGGGACTAGCACAGCCACTTAGCTGTGCCACGCCCTACTAGGGTTGCGCTTAACCGCATCTTCTAGCCACGTATAAATTAGCTGGCAGGCCTTCGCCTACTAGTCTCCTATAGTTCGTTAAGTTAAAGTCTTAATATAACAGTACAAACTAGTTAAGCCTTTATAACCACGCATTGCAAACCAACCCTTATAGCATAATAATTGTTAGCCGTAGCGTTTTAAGCCTATATTTCGTCTTTTAAAGACTAGAGACAAGCTTCTTAGTCTAATAGTCGGCTAAAGTGCTCTAAAAGCTGGCCTAGAAGCTAAGAACTAAAGGGCCTAGTAACTCTAATTATAACGTCGCTATTACCTTTGTTACTAGGTCTAAGAGTCCTAGGCTTAGCGGCGGCGGCGGCTCTTTTAGGCGGCATAACGGCAGAGAAAGAGAGGGTAAACAAATCGTAAGAATGCAGAAAAAGTCGTATAAATTCGGAAAAAAATCGTATAAATATTAGATTTACTAGAAAAGAAGCAGCAAATTCGTCTCTTACTAGTTAAAGCAGTAGATCTTGTATCTAGTAGATACTAGTATAAAAAATCCATTTTTTGTAGCTTCTACTCCGTGCACCGCTAGTCTGTACGCACAGTTGCTCTGCGCGAATACCAGCGTAAGACCCGTACGGCAATCCTTATAGGATATACGTCCGGACCAGTTGCACGTATCGTAGCAAGCTCTAAGGACTTTAGAAGATCTAGTGATGATATTTCGTTGGGTCGTTGACTCCTTACAGACCAGACTGTGCGCAGTATGCGCGCAGATCAGGGCTTCGTCTTATCTAGTGATTTCGGCGGCCGAGGTCAAGTCAGGTGACCTAGGGGAATCCACATGACCTCGGGAAATCCACAACCATATCTCTTATCAGTGGATTACAGTGCAGATAGCTAATTTTTACGGTGCAAATAGCAGCTCTCTTTTTAAACACCTTACAAAGTAGGTATGCAGACACAAGCGTAGAAGGTATCTTACGTTGCAAATACGCTTAAATTACCGCTAACATGTTCCCAAAGCTCGGAACAATCTACGCGCAATGAAAAAGGGGGACCTGGCCTTCTTTTACCACTCCAACTGCAAAGAACCAGGCATCGTTGGCACAATGGAGATTGTACAGGAGCATTCTCCCGACCGTAGGTTGCTTCTGCTGTCTTTTGAAGATACGATTTCTTTTTAACACGTTTCGCATCATCTCATAGTATCAGCCTCTAATCCGACGGCGCCTTATTATGATCGTTCCTCCAAAAACACCGACCCAAAATGGAGTGTTGTTCATGTTAAATTCCATAGCAAGTTTAGAGAGGCTATTACGCTTAAAGAATTACGTAAAAAGGGGGCTCCAGGGGGCCCACTTGAGAAGATGCAACTGCTCAAGCAGGCTCGCCTCAGTGTTAGCAGAGTCAGCGTTGAGGAATGGGAGCATCTGTTAGGTGTGGCACAAGCCAAGGCATCTACTTGATGCATACGATGGCGGATTTCGGGTTGCAAAAACTCCAGCTTATCTAGTCACTGAACTTTGTAGAATACAGGTCTTTAAAGCAGAGCTTATTATGCTTTCTCCAGCTTCCTACGCGAATCCTCCAAAACTATCCGTATACCGCTGTCAAGGCTCAGAGTCAAAATGTTATCAATCCAGGCCATGCATTTGGCCACAAACTGCATCTTTTCTGTTGTTTTGACCACGCCTTGATGCATCTTGGTGAGAGACATGCGAAGTGCTTTCGGGAACGTGCTATCATCAGGGCTCAGGTTTAGCAGTGGTCGCTTGACTTGACAGCTCCATGTAGAACTGGCATTAGGGAACATGTCGATCGTTGTAGACAGGACGTGCTCGACGATCTGATCCACCACTGACACGTCCCTGAAAGAGGCGAACATGTCGAAAAAGGCTTCTGCGGCTTCTGCGCTGAAAAATGACTGCTTCGCAGCAATATCAAAAATCGCCAGCGGGATGGCGCCGTCCACCGATGGACTTTTATCCAGCCTTTGTACAGCTTCTTGGTCAAAGCCATGTATCTTGTTTTTGTCCATATTCCTGAGCGGTTTCGGCAGGGACAGCAACTGTCCAAAGTCGTCACCGTCTTCTTCATTGCGGTCATCCTCGTCTGCGTCGTCGCTAAACATGATGTTACCATCTCCGACTACTTCACCTCGGTATTTTTGGCCACCTCCAGTCACCGCTTCCGCTGCAGATGGAAGTGCCGTAGTTTCCCTCTGGTCTTTCAGCTGTACCAGCCACTTCATCTCGGCTCGAGCGTACTCCATCCATACCAATTCGTCCGCCGTGCAGAACCGACATCCGCGCATGAAAACACCTCTCGCGCTGTCCATATCGCCGTCCTGTACCGCTTTTTTCCCGGCTAACACCCACAACTCAGAGTCACTCGGCAACATACGGACAGCGCGCGTCATCACGCGCCTCCATCGTTTTGTTGCCTTTACCTGCGCGGCATAATCGAGGTAATGCCGCCACAATAAAGCGCTGCCCGGGTGGCGTGTCACACCCCGTTCATACGTTTGAAATATGCGTGCTTGACTAGAATAGGATGTAGAATGTCGAATTTTGAGCCGATGGCAGCGCTTGCGACGAAGGCTTTCAAGCGACTGCTCCCAGGCGATATATGCAAGAACATCGGACGGTTTGGATCCTGAAGAGAGGATGACGCGCTCGAAATCCGTACGCTTCTGTACGAGTGTGCGAATTTCGTCCTAAAATAGTGCATGGTTCATCAGCCGTGTTCTCGCGAAGATGATGGCATCGACCGCAGATTAGTCAAATAACTAGAGTATACCTTTGAAAATAATTCTTTGGCTTCAAACTCCCGGAGTTGAGGCACAGAACGCTCTAGATAGAAGCGTGCCTTATCGTCTACCCGAGCCATGACTGAGATCAAAGTCTGTAACTAGACAACGAGAAGGTGGGAAAGTCCAAGTTAAAAAAATAACCTTGGGATTTATTTGCGCATTAGCTTTCGTTACCTGCCTCTCTTGGCTTTTTTTTCTGCCGCAAGATGCAGGCGGTGAACCATTATCTTATCTAAGCACAACATTTGCCGCCGCCCATGTCTTTTTAGATGCACATAATCCGTTTTTTCGCTGTACTATAGAGCTGCTCTTTTTGTGGCTTCTTTGGAGATTAACGGACTGCCTCGCCTGACACAAGCAGTCAGAAAGGGGGATTGAAGGCGGCTGGTATTGAGGCCGAACTATTCCGACTGACAGCAGGTGCTGAGACTGAGAACAAATGCCTCGTCATATTAATCAGGTACCAATGTTGATTGGGGCAGTTTGAACATGAAGCAAATGTTTGCTGCATACCATCTTACCAAGTATGTCACTATGGGCCACCCGGTGATTCATACCGTTGACGTATTTGAGTTAGTAATAGAACGCGCGATGGCTCTCTCAACCAAAATGGTGTCGAAAAATGAGAAGGTTCCCCTGACTGGACCAAAACCCATGGCGTGAGTTCCCTTCCGGGTTACCATTTCGTGGCTGTTTCTGACAGTGGTCCATCCAGCTGTCGTGAATGCAAAAGGCAAAAAACTTACTGCTCAAAGGAGCATCCCAAGAGTGAGAGATGTCAGCTACGCCCGGCTGAATGTGTCTACGCGGGACCAAAAAAGATCATGATCAATGAACAGTATGTCTCGACATAAGGCATGTCCTGACCGGGGACAGCTTACTGACGACGAGTCCTCGAAGCAACCTAAAGTCGCTAAAGGCAGAGCTTCGGCGCTACGAAGGTGAACACCGGATTTCCATAAGGGTCTCCAGATGATATTTGTGAGACCTTTCGACACCTACAATTCACTCCATCACCCCCTCCACCGTCTGTACGAGTACATGAGGAGTTTCATACAGTCCAGGAGTTCTAAACGCATTTCCAGAATTATTTAATTTTCTTCCTCCGGAGACAATCGTGTCTCTCCCAGAGCATCCGCTTTTAGATGTATCCTAACAATACACCAATACGATAAACGGCAAGAGCAGAGCAAACGACGGCGATTTTACTGAAGAAGAAGAGGATAGTTCGGAGGAGTCTGCCTGATCAGTTCAAGCAGATGAGTTTGTATCTTAGAGCCAGTGTGTGTTTCAGGGCCTACCCGTGCCACACCCCACTCAACGGGATACACGAAAACGCGCACCACCTAAGATAGTGCTGGACACTTTTTAGGACACCTAATGGCACGAAGCAGACTTTAAAAAAAACAATAACTAAATAAGAAAAACTCGTATAAACAAGGGATTCAAACCATTACATTCGTCTTATTCTTAGCTTCCTTTTGGGCTATTTTAGCTGCTCTAGCAGCATCCCTTTGTTCTTTGGCGGCCGCTTTTTATTATTTTATTATTGCTATTTTAACCAGCTTTTTGTCCTTTGCAAGGACCTTCTCTGCGTCGTTTTTATCTCGTTAAACATCTAGCTATCTAGCCTGTTTAATAAATATAGCCCCTTTTAACTACAAAGGCTTGTTTTTAGAGGCTTTAGCTTGTTATCGTTGTTGTTTTGCTAGCTTTATACAGCTTAAGTCTATTCAAATTTAGACCGCTTTAGCCGCTAGCGTTAAAGAGCCTTTTATAAACCTTTAGATTTTTTAATAAAACCTTTATCAAGTTTACTATCTAGTGTGAAGGTTAAAGGAGGCTATACGTAGCGGTCATATAACGTGATGCACTGTGAGGAGCAGAAGGCTGAATAGGGTCTAGTGTGGGCGAAGGAGTGTTGAGTACTAAGGAAGAAATAGATACATCGCGACCCTTCTAGGGATCCGTATTAATACTAGTGTCAGGCCCCGCTTTTGTGCCTTCTAACCAATTACAGGCCCGTACGGCCAAGTGGGGCGGAAGGGCCACAGTGTGGCGGATTCCAATGCTTGACACCTACCCTTTAAATTAAGCTATATAGTTTTTTCCCTAGAGTTAGTATAGCGCTAAATAAAAAAGAGGCTTAATTGTCTTAAAAGAAAAATGTATAAATGTATAAAAACACTTTTATTTTTTAGTTTGCCCTTTTTATAGCACCGTTAGTTTAGGGGTGGAAAGCTATTAAGAGTTTGTAGATAATATTTAACCTTTTATAAATCTCTTCTTAAAGTATAAAGATAAACTAAGGTCTTTAGTTAAAGATAATAGAATTTAAAAAGCTATAGTATATAAAGATAAATCTAGCTAAGGCTTTTACTACGTTAACAGCTTCAATTTTCCCTATAAATTAGTATTATAGACTTTAAGAGGTAGTTTATAACTACTAAAAGGTTTTTATATAGCATGCCTTAAAAGAAGGAAAAGGGTAGAAGCTTAGTAATAAAGTTAATAGATATTTTAGCTTAAGGTTAATTAAAAACTAGTAAAGGCTTTAATAAGCCTTTCTTTACTTTTTTTTAAACCTTTACTTTAATATAAATATTATAGTTTTATACTAGTCTTTAAACATCTACTAATAAACTAATCTAGGTATATTCTTTAAATACTAAGTTCTTAGTTCTTTCTTTGCTTAAGTAGCTAGAAAGAAAAGAGTTATAAATCTTTTAAATTAAAGTTATGTATAAAGGTTTTTAGTATAGTATTTAAATTCTATCTTACTAATAAAAGCGGTTTTAAGAATCTATAAAGCATTTAGTAATTATAATAAGCAAGCTAAAGAACTTAGGAAATTACTAGGCTCTTTTTTATATAGTCTCTCTTAGCTTAAAGTAGTAAGAGTTTAATGCTAAGCTTTATTACTAAAGAGAGGTTAAGGATTTATTATTAAAGAGAGATTTAAGTATAAAGTTTTAAGCTATTCTAGCCTTTAGTTTTAAAAGTTTCTTATTTAAGGTACTTTTACTACTATGAAAGATATAGCTAAGCTTAACTTTAAGTAAACTATTAGTCTATAAGAAAAGAAGCGTATAGTCCTTTCTTAATATTCTTTTATTATCTACTCTTATAAGCAAGTCTTATTCTTTATAGAATAAAGCGTCTAACATTACTTAAAGAGTCTTAAGGTAGTATATAATAAAACATTTAAAGTTAAAGAGCTTGTACGCTTAATAAGCTTACCTTTTAGCTAATTATTATTTTATTTTAAATTAACCTAGGTTTTAGTAGTTAAAGTAAACTTTAAATAGTCTTTTTACTAGTTTTAGTCTTTATTCCTTCAAGCAGCTTACTATAGCTAACATTTCCTTAATATAAATGAAATAGTTAGCTTTAGTAAGCGTAAGCGTTTAAGAGTAGTAGCTAATAAGGTATTAAAGAGCGTCTTAAGAATTTAATTATAAAAGAACCTTACTTACTATAAAACTAGAAGTATTAGCTTTAACCTTTATTTTTTAGTTAAGGTACTAGGCAATAAGTAAAGGCGTAGAAATTAATACTTTCTTTAAAAAGTTAAAGAAGGCTTAGTATTTTAAGATCTAAATAAAGGAGTAGTCTTTTTTTATTAGTAAGGTTAAAGTAGCAGCTAGTTTAAAGAACTTTTTTATAATAGCGTAGTAATAATTTAAAAATCTTAAAAATCTTTATACACCTTTTACGTTATAAAGCTCTTTCTAATCTTAAATTATAAACATCTTTTTTAAGTCTACCTTTAAACTCTTTTTAAGGACTATAAGGTAGCTAAGAAACTAAGTTTCTTTTACCTTAAAATAAGACTTAAACTAATCTAAGTATAGGCTTACTTTCAAAAGCTTAGTAATAGTACTAAGAACCTTTATATAATAGTCCTCTTAAAAGCTATTTAAATAAATAACTATATTGTTAATATATACAGCTACTTATTAATTAAAGGATTTATAAAGTATATAGTTAATATACTATTAAAAGCTAGTAAGGGCGCCTTAAAGACTAAAAGAGGTAACTAACTATTCAAAAGATCTAAGTCTTATATAGAACGTAGTCTTTTACTTATTATTAAATTTATTCTAAAGTTTATAAAAAGCAAAGATAACGTTAAGCTTTAAGATGTAGCAGTAAGAGGCTATTTTATAAAGAGTCTTAGCTAAAAGAATATACATCCTTAATTATTATAGCATTTATACTTTAGAAGTTTATATAAAAACAAAGTCTACTACTAGGTTTCTTAATAAAAAGGATAGGTATAATAGTAAATAAAGATAGAGAATAAATAAAACCTTAGGCCTTTAATTTAAAAATAGTCTTTTATAATACTAAAAGCTCTTTTTATAATATAAAGTATAAAAGCTAGGCTAGCATAATAGCGCTATCTTAAAGTCTAATTTTATAGTTATAGCTAAGACAATTTAAAAGAAGCTTCTTAGCTTCTTTTTAGTTAAAGGTTACTAAGGCTAAGACTAGCTAGTCTAAGGCTTTAAAGGTAAGGTTAA